ATGGCTGGGGCAGGTGGAGACTGCTGATGTTTTCCTGGAAGACTGGGGCTGGGGGGTGAGGTTGGTGTGGACGGTGCCAGGTGGACAAGATTACCAGACCGTGAAATTGAGCTGTGCGTCCCTGCCCCTGCCTTGTGGAAGGTTCAGGGAGGTGTTTCTTCAGCAGCTGGAGAAGTGGGCAGTTCCGAGAGGTAGTTTTCTCCCTGGATGACACGGAATCTCAGGTGGGCAAGAGAGCAGGGACAAGCAATTCCTTCTCTGTCAGCAGATCGGTAGTTAAAGACTGTTAGAGCTGCAAAGCGTCTTTTCCAAAAATGGAAACTTGGTCTGGAGAGCCCCAGCTGGTGAGTCACTGGACCTCAGGCCGTTTGACTCCAAAGTCAAAACCAGGGCACCTTTCCTTCCCTCTCCGTTTCCTATCTCCGCACTGTCCCATAGCTAAAGGGAAAGGAATGGATTTGTCAATTCACACGTTCCCAGGAACATAAATCACAAATAATTACTGTGGCTTAGTTGACAGAGGAGGCAAGGGAAGCGGAGGACTGGGGCTCTCAAAGCCCCCTGCACACTTACTTTCTAATTCTACATCCCGCGGGGTGTGTGGTCTCCCTTCCCTAAGTACAGAAGTGATCCCTCTCAGGTTGCTCACTCCCGGGGAGCCTCCAGAAAGCACTTCGAGTCCTCCGGCCCTTTTTGAGCACGTCGTGGAGTTGTGTCCCGCACCATTCTCTCCCTCTGTGACCGTCACAAACACCCTTTGGGTAACGGTATGGTAAGCCCCTCCAGAGACCTAGGCTGTGCCCAGGTCCACGCTGGCCATGGTCTTCATCTGTTCCCACTTCACTCAGGAGATCTCTCTTTGCTGGGAGAGATGCAGGGAAAAAGTGCTCCTGGCTCTCACGACATTGGGAGTTAGCTCTCCCAGGCTAACTCCCAGAGCCTGGGAGTTAGCACCGTGTAGCAGAAAGGGCAGGAGGGTCCCATGTGAACATTTTTGGTTGTCATATCATGCTTTGATGGGTGGACAGAAGCTCCATTTCCTCATCTGTAAGGTGTAATACTACCATCACTGGCTTGGGGTGAAAATTAAGTGAGATAATACAGTCCAAGAGCCTCAGACCATTTGAAACACTGACTGTTATTCTTCTTCTTAAGTTTATTTATTTATTTGGAGAGAGAGAGAGAGAGAGAGAGCGCATATGTGGGAGGGGCAGAGAGAGAGAGAGAGAGAGAATGAGAACCGCAGCCAGGGTCCACACTGTCAATGCAGAGCCCGATATGGGGCTTGAACTCACGAATCATGAGATCATGACATGAGCCGAAATCAAGAGTTGGACGCTTAACTGACTGAGCCATCCTGGCGCCCCTAGCACTATTATTATCGATAACAATGCACGGCCTTGGCATTACTGTAGCTTCTGTGCCTTGAAGAGGCGTGCCATTGGGCAGGTGTTTTTCAAGTGGGCTCATGTGCAGAGACTCACAGGTCAGCTGGGAGGTACACGACCTCACTGATGGGCAGTTTCTACTGAAATGCCGCATTGAAGAGACTATATCCTCCCCAGCTTTCAACTACACACATTCACTGTTATTTGTGGCATGTAGATTATGTTCAGGAAGGGAGAAATAGGGCAAGGGTGATTGAGAATGTGTGGGGCTTTGTACCTCTGGGGGCTGAAGACTCCAGACGCTAAACCGGGTATAGGTTGGTATTGCCTTGGACATTAGGGAAAAAAGCGACGTAACTACTAAGTGACCGTCGTGTTTCAAGGCACTTCTCATCGGCCTGCTTTGCGAGGAACAGGGTTCAGGCAGGGGCTTTGGGTCTGATACCTGAGCTCAAATGTGGCTTTGCCTTTTGCTACTTGTGTGGTTTGGCGTACATCACTTTCTAAGCATCAGTGGCCTCATGTGAACGGTGAGGGCTTGACGCAGTGATGTGTATTTCCAGCTCCTTGAAAATGTTTCTTAAGTAGCCGTCTTTTG